GAATTTTTATATATTTAAATGATTTTGTTTGAATATCTGATTAAAATACTGCATCATTAACATTTGAGGGATTTTATTTGAATTTTGATGAACTTATTTCATTGTTAACATATTTAAGTAATTTTCTTTGAATTTTGATTAAAATTGTTGTGGAGTAAATAGTATACCTCCGGTGACTATATAAACTAGTCCATTACTATAAAGAGCTCAAGGTCAGAGGTAAAACTGGTAGCCATTTCGTGTCAGTATTCAGACTAATACAAGCATCACAGCAAATAGCTGAAGCATTACATATAGAGAAACCTTATATGAAGTATGGTATATAAGTAAGAGTCTGTTATAACAATAAGAATAGTGACATTATAATAGTGGTGGTGAGTAATTCAAAATTCAGGCGATTTATAACTATTGTGTTGAGGATTTAAAACTCTTATAACTTATAACAGTAACAAGAATTCAGGAACTCATATGAGTTGTAACTAGAGTTACAAGGAATTTCTACAATGTTGGTTTAAAAAAAACAAACAAACATATTCTTGTAAATATGGAGAAAATTTTGACTTCCATAGTTGAAATTCAACAACAACAGAAACAGTAACAACAACAAAATCAACAGTAACTAGAACTACAAAAACAGCAACAGGAGTTGTTGGATATAATTCTGAAGGAAGCAAATAATTCTTCAACTTATGGCAGATGTTGTCCAAAACACCATATCAGAATTTGTATACAATCCTGAGGAGGAACTGACTTTTTCTGTGTATTTTTGTAGATATGAACAAATATTTAGTCGGGAATGCAGTGGCTGGGAAGATGAGACAAAACCAATATTATTGTTGAGGAAAATAGCTCTGATAGAGCATGAAAAATACTGCAATTACATTTTACTGAGAAAACCTAGTGAAATCAGGTTCAAGGACACAGTACACATTCTGACGAAAATCTTTAGTGACAAGGGCTTTCCCTTTAATGCTCGTTGGAGATTGTATTTGCTGCGAAGAAATTTCATAGCTTTATTCATGGAAGAAATTTTACATTGCAAACAGACCACAGACCTTTATTAACAATATATGGTTCAAAGGAAGATATACCTACTTATACAGTTTATTAGACTACAACACTGGGGTACCATCCTGTTAAACTATGATTTTATGATGGAGAAAAATTAGGACATGCAGATGGATTATCTAGAATAATCCCTAAAAAAGTGGAACCATTGGAGGATATGGTCATTGCAGCACTAAAAAGCAAAATGAAAATAAAAAAAATTTTGTGCAACATAGTACGAGAGTTACCAGTGACCCTAAATGAAATAAAAGAAAAAGCAGAAAAGGATGTCTTTATTGTGAAAATAAAAAAAGCAACTGAAAGAAAGCAACAAAGAACAAAATCCAGACTTCAACACGTACTTGATATGCGATGGTGTAGTAATGTAGAGTCAAAGAGTTTGTAATACTGAGTGTGTTACAGAAATGAATATTAAAGGATTTTCATTGCAGACATCCTGGTATTTCTAGAAATAAATCCATGATGAGAAGATTTGTATACTGGACTGGAATGAATCAAGATATTGAAAGAATAGTGAAAGCAAGTAGAGGCTATACTCTAGCAGCAAAACTATCAATTACAAAGATAGAACCATGGGCAACGACAGACACGCCATGGTCAAGATTGCATATAGATTTTGTAGGTCCTATCAATGGATCATATTATCTTGTGGTAGTTGACTGTTTCACAAAATGGATGGAAATTTATAAGTACAAAAATCCAACACCCTCAGTGACAGTGAATTTTCTGGCATGAACTGTTTGCGAGACATGGTATATCAAAGGCCATAGTATCTAATAACAGAACGCAATTCATGGGTAAAGAATTCCAAGAGTTTTGCCATCTTGGGTATGACGATAAACTACATCCGTGTCCTGGGTAAGACGATAAACTAGGTCCAGCAGCAAGGCCTCTGATCAGGAGGTTTTGAGGAGCATAGAATAACCTCTTAATTGCTGGTGTTCCCATGTCCACCCTGACCCAGGGTGGTAGCACCTGTTAGGGTGCCAGCTATGGGCAAATAGTTAACACCCAAACTTGTATAAAAATAGCTTTTAATATTAGAAATACTTTGTAATAAAAAAAAATTATTACAAGGAATAATTTTTGAAGGAAAGATTATTATCAACAATACTTTAAAAATAATACCAGCAATACAAACAGCTATAAATTCTTTGGAAAAAAACTATAGATTTCTTCAAGGAAAAATATTCCCAGAAATAGATTTTTGAAGAAAAACATTACCAGCAATAAACATTTTGTTGGCATTAAATAACCCATTGAGGTTGATATTCTGTAAAACAAAACAAAACAAACCAATATTTTTGTAAGATGTTCTCTGAATATGTTACAATCCTGCCATATCACCCAAGGTCTAACGGACAAGCTGAACAGTTTGTAAGAATATACAAAAGAGTGTTGAAGAAAGCAAGTCTCGAGACATTAAATGAGGAAGCACTTCTGATTTTTTTGAGAGTTTACCAGGTAATGCTTAACTTTAATACACCATCAGGCATGTTTGCCAGAAGAGTAAAATCAGTGTTCGTCAAGTTGTTACCAAGTCAAAAGACATGAATGGTTAACAAAAGTGACACCAAAAGTTTCAAGGTTGGCAATAAAGTGTTCTTTAGAGCATAGAAGGATGGCAAATAAACATGGGAAGATGGCATAACATCAGTAAAAATTGGTGAAAGGGAAAAAAATTGATCATAGAAGACACCATAATCAGCTGGAAAAAAAGATTCAGTAATGAAAGATCTGTAATACTGGAAGAACCAATAATTTTCAATGTGCCAGCACTACAATAAGTCATGGAACCTACAAGGACAAGTTCTAGAAAAAGAAAAATGAAGAACTGGAAGTGGATCCAAGATGGAAACGCTACAAATTCAAGTACGTTGACAAACTTTCCAGAAGGAGGAGGGGTAGATTAAAAAAATAAAATGTTTATAAAAGTATTAATCACAAAAGAGGTGATGTTTTGGAGTAAATAGTACACCCCTGGTGGCTATATGAACTAGTTCATTACTATAAAGAGCTCCATGTCAGAGGTAAGATTGGTAGCCATTTGGAGTCAGGCAATTTGCTCTCTGGCTTGAAACTGACAAGACCTCTGTCTTCGGGCAGAAAGTGACTCAGTCTGAGAAAAACAGACAAGAATTATACCCGATCACACAAATGCAGGGTCTGGGTAAATTTTGATCAGTTTCTCAAGTAGAAATGCTCCCCATATAAATCTTGACCTTGTGTCAAATCTCATCTCATGAAGGGAGACTGAGTAAATATTTAAATGTCTGTAGTTAGTCTTCAGACTAATTAATACAGGTATCACAGCATATAGCTGAAGAATTACTTATCAAGAATACTTATACAAAGTAGGTTATATAAGTAAGAGTGGGTTATAACAATAGCCATAGAATAGTGGTGTTATAATAAAAATACTACATCAGTAACATTTGAGGGATTTTGCTTGAATTTGAATGATAATATTTCATTGTTAACATATTTTGTTTGAATTTTGGAGATAAATGAATATAATAATACTTTGTACTAATGTTGAACTTCCTGATTTTTGTTATCATCATCATAAAATTTTAGCTGTTGTAATCTCCATCCTTTTTCAGGTGTCTGCCATATTCACTAACTTGGGAATTTTAAATTAAACACTTTATTCAATCCTCTATTTAAGAATATTTCATATCAACTAACCAATATCCTCCACACAACTGTTGAAACTGATGTCTTTTTTTTTCCATATATCGATATCATAATTATAAACTATCATTTTGGAAGGTGAAAATTTCACTGAAATATGTTGGAAAATTTCCAAGTTTTCATCTGTAATAAAAAAAATATGAACTTTAAGCAAAATGGTGATGATATATGGAAAAAAAGACAGTATCAGTTTAAACTGACATCAGGAAGACATTGGTTAATTTGTCTTACCTCAGACAGTAGAATGAGAAAATTCTTTGTTTGAGACTATTTCTGTTTACTTATAGCTAACACCCTTGGGTAAAGCTGTAAATCCATATCCCTGCACTTAACCCAATCAAAAAAAAAAAACTCTAATCACTGGCCTGCCACAATCGTCAATAAAGAAGAGAATGAGTAAGCACTTAAGCAAAGACTTCACCTAAAACTATCATCTAGATGGCAATAAGTGTAAAAAAAAAATATATATAAAATGCTGTTACAGCTATTGTCAACCTTAACAGGAGATGTCGTACACATCTCTACTAAGGGCTCTGTTATTATGTTAAGAATTAGTTCTCTGTGCTACCAATGAGCCTTAGAAATGCTTCTTAAACATTGAATAAATTTGATAACAGAACAAATCATTTCAGCCAATAAATAACTTTCTCTGAGCTTAAATCGTTTTTCTCAAGGTGAGAATCTATTAATAGAAATCAGGTTCATTGCAGGAATAATTCATTATTGGTTTATTAAAGTCACTGAACATAGTATTTATTACAACAGTTTAGAATACAAACATGCAAAAGAAATAAGTTAAAGACATTTTATAAAATCATACATATATAATCATATATAACTTAAAAAAAATCTAATAATATATGATAAAGGCAATAACTATTTTATATAGTCTAAAGACAATATAAAACCAATAATATATGATAGAGATAACAACCAATGTTTATATAGTTTAATAATATGTAGATAAAAACCTTTTATATAGTTTAAAAATATAAATCTAATAATATGATAGAAACAATAACTCTTATAGAGTTTAAAGATAATATAAAGTCAATAATATATGAGAGATAATGACCAATTTTATATAATTTAAAGACAATATAATCTAATAATATATCGAGACAAAAACTCTTTTATATTGCTTAAAAATATAAAATCTAATAATGATACAGCCAATGACTCTTTTATATAGCTTAAAGACAATATAATGTATAAATATAATCTTTAAGACAACAAACCTTTTACTTGGAGCCAGCCAACATCCTTGAGATTGTGGAAAGACTTTAATAAACCCTGTAGAAAAGAAAATAATTCAACCACAATTAAAATACAAAGTACAAGTAATAAACAGATAAGCATAAAAGTGAAGAAATTCTTTATTTTACATATTGATGAGAAAGTGATAAAAGAATTTGTGGCAAACATGGTTAAATGTGCCTGCAATAAGTTAACGTTAAAAGGATGTTTTTTTTCCCATGACACCACTTTTTTTGTAACTACCCTCACTTTTCAACAATGTTTTGTTTAAAGTGATGATTAGAATTTTAATAGAATTTAAGCCTGTGAAAGTTAATTTCTACATTTTTTATTCTTGAGAAGAATAATTTTATATTTACAGCATTCTAAAAATTAATACAATTCAATAGAAATGAATGCAATGCAATATTAATCATTTACCGAATTATAAAGAAATAAATATGAAAACAATTTTTATTCATAAATTTATAAACATTTGCTAAATTATTAAAAATTATTGAAATTATATTCAAACCATTTTATAAAATTTGAATCAACTGGCAATTAGCTGATGTTTTGCCAACCATTCCAATAAATAATATCATAAAAAGTGTTTATTATTTTTGATATCAGTCCTGAAGATCAAAGTAAATGTATAAATTCACTTTCATATGTTTAGGTTTTATTACAATTCTAATCATTGCTTTTGAAAACAATAAACATTGCTAAGGAGTGAAGGTAGTTAAAATAATAGCAGTTTCAAGGAAAATACTGTCCTTTTGGTACTTCGTTTTTTTGCAGGCATGAAAGTCCAAGTTTTACCAGAAAATAATGTTTAGTTCTTTTTTTTCTAAAAATAAATTACATTTTCTTGGCTAAGGTAATTTCTCTCCAGATATAAATTTACTAAATTGAAATAAAGTCAATGAATGACAGTTATTTATGTTATATGCTGATTCAAATTAGATCTCTTTCTGATTCACTCCACATCAAAATCTGTCAGCTGAATGCAAACACTATGAAAGCAAAATTAAAATTAAAAAAGTTGCACTCTGAGGATCACATTTGGCTAACAAAGCAAATCCCACAAAATATAAAATACAATTTAAGCACAAGAGCCAATCATGAATGTTGCTGCTAAAGCAAAAGCATGGCAAAAAACACTGAGTTATGTATCCATCCTGACTGCTTAAAAGGTGCCACTCATGACACTCAAGTCAGTACATAGGCAGTCACAGAGTTCATCAGTGGCCTCCTGGTTAACCAATCTGACACAAGCTTCAGCACCAGGCCTGTACACAATGGACTCCATAATCCTTTAGGTTGCTTCCCTTGCCCACAAAGAGACATTCCACCTTAATCCATTATATCATCAAGACAATTTCATTTTAAAATATCTTGTCTCCTTTCATTCTGTTTCACCAGCAATACTTTGGTGTTTTTGTTTATTCTCTTGCAACCATACACAATATCTAACATAACTTTCTCATAACTTTAATACAAAATTTCAGATCTCTCATCATCATCAAAACTTACCTAAAATGTACAATAAGTTATAATGAACCTTAATATCTGGAGAATTATTTTTCAACCATTGAGCTTTATAAGCATTGGTTAAATACTGAATAAATGTCATAACAGAAAATAATGAATCTATCGTTCTTTCTTTTGTCAAAGAAAGAATTACATTTTCTTCGCTAAAATCATTTCTATTCAGATATGAATTTACTGAATTGGAATAAAGATGATGAGTGACATTTATTTATTACATACTTCTGCTTCGTACCCCATGTAAAAAATAATGATAGTTTAGAATGACATGTAACTTGGAATAAAAATAATGGCAAATCAATATATCTGCTGCCTAAAATACATTAATAATAATCTGACTACAAATGTGCATTTCAAATAATTTTATGCTTGAAATGACTTGCATTGCTAATAGAAAAAGGCAATTATGTATAACATTTTACAATATATGAAAACTTGATTCTGTCAAAAGTTGTACATTGATCCAAATATTACAGGCATGAGAAAAACAAAGATAAACTAGAACTTATGCATTATTTCTGATTCCAACTGTTTAATAGATATTATAAAATCATGACCTGATTAACTGTGATAAAAAACAATTGAAACTAAGATGAAAGAAATCCTAGACAAAACTTAATAATGGCTGACAAATCTTCATCTAAAAAAATATCAAGATAATATTATTACTAACACTACTAGAGGAAAAGCTATTGAAATTAAGGTGAAAGAAATATTTATCAAAAAATTAAAATGGCTGACAATACTTTATCCAATAAAAATTCAAGATAATATTACTAACATGACTAAAGATGTAAGAAATACTAGACAAAATTTAATAATGGCTGACAATACTTCACTTAATAAAAATTCAATATAACTGTTGTGTAGAAATACGACTTACCTACACTACACTAAATTGTTGAACATAGATTTGTCCACTCACTATGAGTGGAACTTCTGCTCATAGGAACAGTTACAAAGTGGCTTGTATGTATTTCCGCACTAACTAGAGTTTTCACTATTGTATTATTAATCTATGTGATTAAACATTTTCTTCACTAATATTTCCTGTCAGTGTTTTCCTTGGAATATTATTAACCAGAAGTATAAGCTTATACAAGCATTATAACAATAAAGAATATTATCAACCAGAAGTATAAACTTATACAAGCATTATAACAATAATATTGCTAATATTACAAGATTAAAAGAAATCAATTTTTTAAAGTCTTGAAGCTGTTTATAAAAAATTCTTTATTCCATATTCTTTAAATAAAAGTTAATTGTTATCATTTAATTGTTCAATGGCTTTTTTTTCACAAATCTTTGTTCTATATTTTCGCTAAGAATTTTTTTTATAAATTTCTGCATTCTGCATAATTGTTATAACTTTCAACTTTTCGAGATTCTGTAGAGTAGATGTAAATAAAATACTTATTTTTGGAAAATAAAGTTCAAGAAATGTAGAAACAAATAAATTGGGTTGAAACAAAAATAGCAGTTTTTAAGTAAATTTCAAAGATGATATTTACATATTTGTACATAGGGGCATCCATTTCAGACCAGGAAATCACCACTTTGATAAAATTATCAAATTAAAACCAGAGGAAAAAGTAAAAACTGACATTTAATACAGGGAAAAAAAAGAAAGAAATACTGAAAATTAAACGATTTCGCTTCTCACTTATTGATTGAGGATGATAAAATAAAAATATGTATCAACCAAAAAATACTGATTGGTGTTTCCCTTTTTTAGTTAGTACATCCTTTTATTATACTTGATCGAGTTTTTATAAATGAGGAGTGAAACTGTTTAAATTTCAATATTTCAGTTTTTTTTTATGATCCAGTTCACACTCCTCCCACTATTTTGGACAGGAGGAGAGGTTTCTTGCTTGTTCTTTGTTTTAAATTATTTTTCTGGTTCTTTCTAAATTCTACTTCAACTCTATACTTCTAACATCTCCACCTAAACTCTGAAGTTTTATTTACTATTTATTTTAAATTTATTTTTATTTATTTCTTCAGTTGGTTTGTCTGTTGTCCGGTTCAACTCATCCCTGGCTTTTTGAACAGGAGCAGAAGTTTATCCCATGTTTCCTGTTTTGGATTGGGTTTCTGGTTCCTTCTGAAGTCTTCTTCATCTCTGCTTTTTTCTCAGTAGGAGTAGATAAGTTTGCCTATCGTCTGGTTCACACACATCCCCTATCTTTTATCCTTGATCAAATTTTGATAATTGAGGAGCAAAAACATTTAACTTCCAGTATTTTTTCAGTTTTCTGCTGTCCTGTTCACACTCCTCCCCAGTCTTTTAAACAAGAGTAGCGGTTTATTTCTTGTTTTCTGTTCAGCACTGGGTTTCCAATTCTTTCTCTTTCACTCCCAGTAGCCCCTTCCGTCTTAATGGCTTCATTACCTTACTTGGGGTGAAATGATTAAAAAGATAATAATAATAATAAATGTCAGTTCTTACTTTTTCTCTAGTTTTAACTCCTTATGTCCATTTTCTACGCAAACAAAAACTTTTAATAAAAGATAAATATAATTTACTCAGAAGTAAATTGCCATATAATCTTTGAGTTCCCTACAATTAATTTATGATAGGGCGAGTTCATTTTATCAGTTATTCTTATTAAACTAGTACTGTGATATGAGATTTAAAAACTTTTAAAAAACTGAGCCGAATGAATTAAAATCTATTACTTAATTAATAGTTATAAATAATTATTGCTTGATTTTATCATTGTGATATTTTTGCATTATATCAAGTATTAAGAATATAGTAACTAGGGTCCGCAAATTGGAGGAGAGAGTTATCAATGATAATATTCTGACTTCAAATTCGTGATTATCTCCCTTTAACCTTCTTTTTGTGTTTTATTTTTAAATGTACTTTTTATCTCCAAATCTATTAATACAGTTAAAGTAAAAAAACAAGCATTCAGACACTTAACGTAAATCATATTTTGTCACATTAATGTAGATTTTGTTCTTGTGAAATCAAATTGTTTCCCTGATGATGCCAGTTCTTTAGTTGAAACATGTCGCAGTAAAAAATTTCCATACTGTCTTACAGCATTGGATTCTCATCCATATATACTTATATAAATATAAACAAATACTTACATAGCTGCACACAATTTCATCTCTCTCCCGAGGATTTGGTGTAAAGTTGGTAAGATCAGTAATTGTCTCACTGCCAGACGTACCACTGATGGTTAGTAAAAGAGTAATGGTGCCTGCACCATCTTCTAGAATTTGCTCTAGAGTATGTGTTTTCTCGTGCTTGATATTGGACAGGTCAATCGTTGTTCTGTACAAGATATAAACAAATAACAAAAGATGAATACAAAATCAGTTTGGTTCATTATGGATAATGAAGATTTATTTTGGGACAAGTTTTGGGCATTGTGAACAAAAATACTCTTTTTTTTCATATTATTATAGAGTAAGCAGTACAGATCACAAATATCAAAACAATTTCTTTTCATTAACTTTTATAAATGTGAATAAGGGGCAGTTCATTTTGTTATGCAAAATCATGGCAAATTGATCACCCTACAGAAGCCAAAACAAAATGTGCTCATATGATGTAATTTCTTAAAATGTCAAAAAAAAAAAAAATTCATATTGATTAAGCACTTCAGATGATGAATATCAAAAGAAAAAAATTATAAAATTTCATAAAAGTCATAAGAAAAAAATTATAAAAATTATAAAATTTTGTAAAAGTTAATGGTGTGTGTGTGGGGAGGGGGGCATTTTGCAATGTAAATTCATTGCAAATATACCCACCCCCATGGAAGCTAAAACAAAATATGTTCATATGATGTAATTTCTTAAAATGTCAAAAATAAAATATTTTTTCATATAGATTAAATCAATAAAAGGATTGCTTGGAAAAAAATAAAATAAAATTCAATTTCAGTTCTTGGATTGTATAAAATTACAAACAAAATAGCCACTGAATGAAAATACAAGGTCAAGTATGCAAATTTATTGAAGTAAATACTACATCATCTGTCTATATTTCTAAGATGGGGTATTGTAAACATTTACACTATTTACAGGGCACAGATTCTTATTCTCATCTTTACTGTCACATTCATAACATTGTATGCTTCAGCTTTCTTCAGGATCTGTCTATATTTCTAAGATGGGGTATTGTAACTATTTACATTGTTCAGACTCTTGTCCTAATCTTTAATGTCACATTCACAACATTTTGGCCATTGTATGCTTCGGCCTTCTTCAGGATCTGTCTATATTTCTGAAATGAAGTATTGGAAATATTTACACTATTTACATTGTTTGGACTCTTCTCCTTATCATTACTGTCATGTTCATAATGTTTTGGTCATCGTATGCTTCAGACCTCTTCAAGTTAGAATTTCAGATTGAACCCAAGGACACATGGCCTAGCGGATAAGGGCATTGGTTAATTGATCCAAAAAGTTGCGACTTCAATCCCCAGCCTCAGTAGAGAGAACAAAAACTTGGAGAGCTATCAAGGCAAATTAACTAAAACTGAGATATCCAAAGGCGTGGCAAGTGGAATTAGAACAATCTACTGCTGGTTCGACATCTTGAATGTGTAAGTAAAAATGAGCACAACAGTTCATACAATATAGTGTAAATAAATACTACATATTTTAAGAGAACTTCATTTCAGAATTCAAAATTCTTTAAGTGGAATTAAATCAGAGAATACAGTTGATGAGCTTAAGAATAAAGAATTTTCCTTTGATTTTGAAGAATTGTGCAGAACATTTTTATTTGCTTTAAGCCAAAATTTGAAACTAAATGAAAAAGGATTTTATATATTTTGATGTGGCTAAACTAACAGGAAAAAGAAGAAATTTTTTCATGTATAGCAATGGTTCCTGAACTTTTTTCTCTTTTCGGAATTAAAATTTGCTCATGCGTTACCAAATTTTTGCATTTAAAATAAAAATCAGAAAGAGGGTTAAAGGGAGATAACCCTGAATTCGAAGTCAGAACATTATCATTGAAAACTCTCTCCTCCAATTTGCAGAGCCCAGTTAATATAGTCTTAATATAATGCAAAAATATCACAATGATAAAATCGGTCAATAATTATTTATAACTATTTATACTGGGACTCATGCATGCAATTACAATTAATCCATATTTTAAATTTTGAAATCATATTTATTTTTGGCATATGAATTTTTTCAAACTGTTTTTAAATCTTTGATTGTCTTTCAATCATTCCGTCTCATCTATGAGGTGCACAACACCATTTAGGAACCACTGATGCAAAGTGTTATATATTTTGTGATATTTTAAGTTGAGATGTTTTAAATTGAAAAATATTAGAAATTTATAACAGTTTAGCATTATTGTACAAGGGACACTGCAAAAATAATGGCTCCTATTTATTTCCACAGAAAGTATAACAGATACAGAAAACAGAATAAAACCATAAGATAGCACAATTTTTCCACATCTTCATTGGCAGTAGTATTTAGATGGTGGACTATGCGCAAAAACTGGGTACTATAAATGACCTCCTACCATCAGAGATATGGTCCAGCATTAAATAATACACAAAGGTTGATAAACCATAAAAAACAAAACAAATCACAAAGGTTGATAAACCATAAAAATGAAACAAATCTATACATCAATGTTCTGTTTGAGCTACAAGAACTAATAGTTGGTAAAAGAACAAATATAACAATATAAAATTATTTTCTAATTTTTCTCCAAACGCTAGATGCCATTGTATCTCATGGTATTGTTTTATTAACTATGTCTGGCTTGGACTTGTACACCATATGCTAGATGGGAAGATTCTGAAGGTCCTTCTGTGTGGGGAACTGGCATGAGGGCGAACTCATCTTCACTTCAAGGACACCTGCAAAAGGGACATGAGCGCAATGGACATGGACATCATGAGGTAGGAATACGTTGCCAATGAATGTTCATGCTGGAGACGAGATTTACACTGATGGCTGCAGTGAGGAAAAGAGAAACAAAGGCTTATTGCTGGGGTAAAGTATGCTTGATGGAAATAAAACAGTAAGGAAACATCATAGAAGAGTATCTTCACATGTATTCATTGCAATCAAGACTGTCACTCCCATGTGGGTCTGTACAGCCATAACAGCTGCTGCACCACCATCAACAGCTGAGGCATAATTCCTTGGGCGCAGATCCAAGGTTTCTTGAGACTGACAGATGTCACATATATATAAAGTATTAGTAGCAATATTATCTTGAATTTTTATTAGATGAAGTATTGTCAGCCATTATTAATTTTTGAATAGGATTTCTTTCATTTTCAATTTCATTTTTAATCTTTTTTAGAATAGGATTTATCTTTCATTTTAATTTTAATTCTTTCATTTTATCTTTTATCTAGTAGTTTTAGTGATATTATCGTGAATTTATCTTAGTGGAAGTATTGTCAGCCATTATTAATTTTTGAATAGGATTTCTTTCATTTTAATTTTAATGGCTTTTTATCTAGTAGTTTTAGTAATATTATTTTGAATTTTTATTAGATGAAGCATTGTCAGCCATTATTAAGTTTTGTCTAGGATTTCTTTTCATCTCAATTTCAATGTCTTAGTAGTAGTGTTATTGCTTATTATAATGTTGTTTTAATCATTTCACTTCAAGACAATAAAGCAACTAAGACACTAGGGGTCAATGAGTGTGAAAAATATGAGAAAAATAAAAACATTATTAAGGAGTGAGAACAATAAAAGAACAGGATTTAAGAAAACAGAAGATAAGGATTAAAATTGCATTTAAATATTATCTTGAATTTTTATTAGATGAAGCATCATTAGCCATTATTAATTTTTACTAGGATTTCCTTATCTTAATTTCAATTACTTTTCATCACAGTTAATCAAATAATTCTATGAGGTAAGGATTTCCTTCATTTTAATTTCAATTGTTTTTCATCTAGTAGGGTTGCTACTTACCAGTAAGGTTTTTTTTTATGATTTCACCTTAAGGAAATAAAGCAACTAAGACAAAAACATTATTAAGCAGAGAGAACAAGAAAAGAACAGGAATTAAGAAGACAAGATAATGATTGACATTACATTTAAATATTATCTTGAATTTTTATTAGATGAAGCATTGTCAGCCATTATTAATTTTTGACTAGCATTTCTTCCATCTTGATTTCCATTTCTTTTCATTTAGGAGTGTCAAAAGCAATATTACCTTGAATTTTTATGAGATAAAGCATTGTCAGATATTCTTCAGTTTTGACTAGTATTTCTTCATTTTAATTTTACCTGCTTTTCATCACAGTTAATCAAATCATTCTATGAGGAAAGATGGCCTAGAGAATTTAACACTCAAAGGATATATTGAAAACAAGAGAAGTCACTAACCTAGATAATGAGTTTCTGTGAATGGATGGCAGAATAGAGACAAAAAGTGATGGAAAATGTCAAAAATTATTCTGAGCAACAAAAGACAAGTAGTTGGGGAGAACCATGAACATTTACATCATGAAAGGACATGATACATAAAAGAAGGAGGAGAACATAAAATCTATTGTTATTGTTAAAATAGGTGTTGTTTTGGTTAGTTGGAATTTCCATAGTAAGAAAAGGTGGAACTACTTAAATATACTGGTCCAATTTGTAAAAACAAACAAAAAAAAAAAATCAATATTTTTTGGTTCTGACAAGGAAGGTTAGAAGAATGATAGCCTACAAAAAATATTTCCCAAAATATTTTTCCTTATTTTTTTTTTATGAGTGACCGAGTCTATTCAATTCTATTAATGTTATCTGAAATCTCGTCCAATTCAAAAAAGATTTTTAATTTTGGGAAGAGCCAAATGTTGTAGGGTGCTAACTCTGAACTGGAAGTACTGACAGATCAGGTGCATTGTCATGACGAAACAGTAGTCACACAGTACACACACTCACTGAATAGCATCGTACTGCTGACTGTGTAACACCATAGGAGAGTAGTCAAACATGCTCATTGATTGCCAGGTTGCATAAAGGGCTGTAAAACTTGTTCTTGTGATATTAAAAATAAGTTCTGATAACTATAAAATGTCAGAGATTGATTTTATACTGTATTGATATTATGATCATTTTTTTTTTATTTTGAGAGTACCGAAAAGGTTGTTAGGCTGGGAGGGATACATTTTTTTCCAAGGACATTTATGTAAATATATTCTGCAAGAATTCCAGTTTGATTTACTAATTCTAGTTTCTGATAACTATTTTTTTTTCCATGTATAGAATCCAAAAAAAAATAATGAAGGCGGTGAAAGGAGAATGACAATAATTTTGAATTAATTTGGAC